CTGTCTCAGAGCCCGTCCCCTGAGCATATATCCCGAGAGTCACTTGCTCATTATTGTCCCTCCTGTCTGGAGCATTTTCCTCGCGGGCCTCAGAAAAGGGCATCAGGGCAGCCCTGCAACTGGGGAGTCACCTTGAACCCTGCTCAGACATCAGCTCGCAGCAGAGGGTGGCTTTCGCAGCAGCCCCACCGTATCTAGGACTTTCCCATCCTTCCTTGAGCTTCCTAATTGACTTCATTTTCCAAGGGGTACAATTTCTGACTGTGCCGCTTCCCAAACCAACCCGTGGCTGCTTCCCTCATCTCCAGCCTTATCGCTCTCCTCTGTGGGTGGCCCAAAGACCTTGTACGAGGTGCGCAAACCTCTGCTTGAGCCTTCCTCTGAGGGCTCTAGGAGACCGGCCCAACGTCGGCCATTCCGTTCTTTCATTATCCAGCAGGTCTCTACTCCAGTGACAGGTCCTGCTCCAGGGAACGGGGACACTGTCGCAGAACAATCCATTTTAGGGGAAGAGAAGATGTGTGGAGGGGTGGGCAACTAGAGCAAAGGCCAGGCCAGCTCAGGGCAGAGGGGCAGAGTCATGCCAGCTGGGACTCCGGGCTACACCTGAGTTAGATACGAGAACAGAATAACGCTGCAGACAAAGCAGCAGCAGATTCAGAGCGGTCTTGGTGTCCCCAGGCTTGAGGGTCCCCCTGGGGACTGTGCCCATGATACCAGTCCAGAAAGGTGACAACATGGTTAGAAATGAGATGGGGCGGGGGAGGAAGAACGGAAGCACTCCGCGGCAGCCATGACTGCTGCCAGGCCTTCTCTGGTCACAAGGGGCACATTGCCTCCCTCAGGGCCCAGGAAAATGTTGGTGGTACTTGGCCTAGAGCTGCCAGGGTCCAGAGTTTTCAGTACCACCTGGATCTGGCTCCAATCTGCCAGCTCAGCTCAGCTACTTTCCTGGCCCTAAAGCTCCTAGTACAGAAACCAGTTCCAGAGACTTGCCTGAGGTGTGTGTGTCGGGGGTGTGTGTATGGGGGGGGGGTATTGTTTACCTCAGCCTACTTGTGGGACTGTGACTTCCAGTTCTCCTACATGAGTCCACATGGAAGAGGTGAGGACTGAGACCTGGGTGGGGTCAAGCCACCTTTCTGTGGGCCATGACTTCTGCTCTGTGGCAGGGCCACACTGCTGGCCCGCACTCTCTGAACGTGTAACTAGCAGCACAGTGTAGGAGCCTTGAATTTTCAGAGTTAGGCTGGCCTCCCGGCCTCAGTAGAGCAGCATGGAGCATCTCATGTCTTTATTCTCACACACACACACGACTTGACTGCCTACTGAGTCAGGGGAACAACTTAGGCAAAGGGGCCAGGAGGCTGCCAAACGAACAAGAGCCCACAGGGAACTGGATCTAAGGACTGAAGTCTGTTCCTCTAGGGCAATGTTCTTTAGGACCCTGCCAAGTGTGATAATCAAGGCAGAAGCAGACAGACAGGTGGGGCAAAGGTGAAAGGTTAGGGCCCTTCAAGTCCTCCCCCTCCCCGCTTCTGCCTGAGCGCTGCTCACACATTGCACCCACTTGCTGTAGGTAAGACTAAGGCTGGTCTGGGCGCATGTGTTGAGTTGCCTGGTCCCCAGGTCCTAGTCAAGTGGACTGTTCCTCCCAGAATCCCTCAGGTCCTCAGGCCTCAGTCTTTCCTACTATGCCATGCAGAGTATGAAGCTCAGAGATCATGCCTGGGCCTGGTGGGGATCAGCTATTGTATCTATTTTCGTCTAAACCAGGAGGCCTGTGAATTTTAGCCATCACTTAGTAGCTTGAGTCACGTGGCCATCCCACCGTGAGCTAATACTGCCTGACGGCAAGAGTCTGAACTGAGAGAGGAAGCCCAACAGGAAGATGAGGCAAGAATCTGGCGTTCTCCCTGTGCCCACCAGGAAGGCTGTCAGACCCACGGGTGGCCACTGTCTCAAGCCGGGTACACCTTTGTCTCCTCTGCCTTGCCTGCCCAGAGACTCCAGATCACAGCCCAAGAGTGACCTGGACACCCTATGACAGAGTTCTAGGTTCTGAGTGGGGCTCAGATCCTAGGAATCTGGGAAAGGGGACACTGGGGTCAGGCCGAGGTTTCAGCCTTCTGTTCCTCCACAGAGATCCGAGAGGCCTTCAAGGTGTTTGACCGCGATGGCAATGGCTTCATCTCTAAGCAGGAGCTGGGGACAGCCATGCGCTCCTTGGGTTACATGCCCAACGAGGTGGAGCTGGAGGTTATCATCCAGCGGCTGGACATGGATGGTGAGATGCCCTGCCTCGATCTCCTTCCCACCATCACTTAGGCCCCAGCGCCTGAACCATGGAGGCTGAGGCCGCTCTGGCCTCTTACCTCTTGCACTTCTCAGCCTAGAAAGTGAGGGGACAGGAGGTGTGACAGCCACACACAGGATCTAAGACTGCCCCTTCCACTCTGGTCTGAGAAGGATTTTAAGGTTGGAAAAGGGGGTTAAAATAACTCTCAGCTTCCATCACCCAAATAAATGGTAGCTGTATTTGCCACCTGCTATTTTTATTAAAGAAAAACTCCTAAGAATGATTGGCAATGCCAAGTCCCCTCTGCTTCATCCCACCTGTTGCCTCCTCGCCCCTTCCTCTCCCTCCAGAGCAGGCACTGGTCTGGGCAGCTGGCTTCATGCTGAGCCTTACTCCCATCTGAATGGCAGAGTGATGATCGCTGTGCTGGGGAGCCATGGGGAGTTCTGAGTGTACTAGGAGAGTTCACACATCTGGGGACCATCTGCTGCTCTCCTCCCCCAGCCCCCAGGAGAGCCCCATCACCAGCTCAGAGCCTGGCATGTTAGGCATCCCTGAAACTAACTGGAGGCTCAGGGAAGGGGTTGAGGTCCCATGGAAGGCCTGAGGCAGGCCAAAATTCCATTTCATGCCTTTTGAACTCTGGGGTGCCTTCATGCTCTCAGCCTGACCCATTCATTAGTCCTGTGCCCACTCTAGGTGATGGCCAAGTGGACTTCGAGGAGTTTGTAACACTCCTGGGACCCAAGCTTTCCACCTCGGGGATCCCGGAGAAGTTCCACGGTACTGACTTTGACACTGTCTTCTGGAAGGTATGCCCTGGCTGCCGGGACTCTGCTGTGTGACTGTGGAGGTGTTGAGGGGCCTGTGTGTGGTCAGATCCACACTGTAACGAGAGGAATGGCCACTGTGCACTGGATATCCTGCTTCCTGGAGGCCTGGGCTCCTTGAGGCAATGGACCAGGTGGTCCTAGTCTTACAGGATCTGGAGGCTTGTCTTTGGACTTGTGTTCCTACAGGGCGCTGGGTGGGGAATGTGGCAGGGTAGTGGTCAGAGCTTGTCCCTTTTGCCACCCAAGTGTGACATGCAGAAGCTGACGGTGGACGAGCTGAAGCGACTCCTCTATGACACCTTCTGCGAGCACCTGTCCATGAAGGACATCGAGAACATCATCATGACCGAGGAGGAGAGCCACCTGGGCACCACCGAGGAGTGTCCTGTGGACGTGGAGAGTGAGTGGCCTGCCTTGGGACCTCGTGGGTGGGTTCTGATGCTTGAGCAGGGGACACACCAGGGGTTTGCATGGGGCCTCCTTGTCCCCAGCCTTGTGTCCTTGTTTGCCCCAAGTCAAGTCCACATGCCAAAGTGCAGACCTGACTCCATCCCTTTGCTGTCCCCTTCTGTCTTCCCCCGGTGTTCCTGGTGGGCGGCTGCAGCCTGTTCCAACCAGCAGATCCGCCAGACGTGTGTGCGCAAGAGCCTGATCTGCGCCTTCGCCATCGCCTTCATCATCAGTGTCATGCTCATTGCAGCCAACCAGGTGCTGCGCAGTGGCATGAAATAGGCACTAACGTGCCCGCCTGGCACACTCCACACCCACTGCTGCCTGCAGCCTTTCCCCTCAGCTTACTCTTTGGGCCACCACCCACAGGCACTTTGAGCCTGGACACTGACCACCCCAATCCTAGCCCTATACTCTGCCTGTGCCCCTACCTGGCCTGTATGTAGCGTTAACTTCCCACCACCCAGGAGCTCCTGGGAAAGGAGGGGCTTTACAGGAGTCCCTAGGATCCAGCTGTCATCTTTTAGGCAGGAGAGAAACTCATGTCCAGAGCTGTGGGTGGGGTGGAGGTGGGCACAAGGCTGGGGTTCCTGGGTCCCTTCCTCCGATCCTCCTTAGACTCAAAGCCAGTCCTCCCATCCACCTTCTGGGGCTTGTGTCTGTCCATTTCAGAGGTGAGGAGCCTGAGGCTGGGGGTGGGGGCTAAGATCTGGCTTCAGATTCTTCTTCCACATGGCTTTTCAGGAAAGGCAAATGCTCACGCAAGATGGGGCATCAGAGGTAGCTCTGAGGCCCATGAATTGCCAAGCCTTCCACCAAAGTTGTCTCCCAGCACAGAACCTAGAAACCCAACTGAGGAGGAGAGCAGAGCTCCTGTAGCCCACACGACTTCCCCATTGGCCAGGGTGCAACCTGAAGGACCTGACTTCCCTGAGGATCTGGCCTGCCCTTCTGGGGTCCCACTTCTCTGTACTCCCAAGGCCGGAGATCCAGCTCTCGTAAGCGCTCCACGTGTGCCATCCCATTTCCTGGCACTGGTGCAGCCTGGGCAGACGCAGGGCCGAGACAGTTGGCAGAGTCCTTGGGCTTCTTTCCCTAGCCTGGGGCCACAGCCACACTGGCATGCTCTGTGCCCAGCCTGGCTGAGCCCCTACTGATCCCTAAGCAAGAAGGGCTGTATGCAGAGGACACCCTGGAGGGGATTTTGTCTCATTCCAGCCCGCCTGTCCCCTGACGGAGGCAGGAGGACAGAGTCAACAACATGAGTGCCAGCAAGACCATGGAGGGCAGACTTTCTTTATCAACATTCGGACGCTTCTCACCATCTTCTCAAGATATGCCCTGAGGGATGGTGGGTGGATGAGGAGGCCAAGCTCACAGAGGCTCTGGGGGAGCAGTGGGAAGGCAGCCCCGCTTCATAGGTTGAGCAAATGTCTTTACTGTGACTGGTGACCAGGAGAAGTCAGGCGGGGAGGGGGGAAGGGCTCAGCCCCACTGGACTCTGGACTGTAGGGACCACCCTCCAGGAGGGGGTGCCCGCAGGGATGGGGGCAGCTCCTGCATTGGTGGCCAGCCCACAGGGTACTGGAAGACAGCGGTTCTGATGGGTTCCGCCCTAGAGAGAAGAAAGACAGAGTCAGAATGGAGCCACCTTGCTCTCCCACCGGCTGTGGGAACAGTGACCTCCTACAAGGCCCTTCTGGAAGCAGACGCTCAGAGCCAGCGACCTCTTCTCAGAACTGAGTCCAAGACGGGGCTCCAGGCAGAGACTGAATGACAGGAATGGTTTTGGGCAACATGGAAGTACTCTTAGCGTCCACCTGTGGGGACCAGTTAAACATATATGCACGCCAACAGCAGAGAATGCTATGCAGCCTGTGTAAAAATCAAGGCCTATATGCACTGATGAGGAAAGATATACTATGTAAGGAAAAAAAGCTTATAAAATAATGTATATAGCATGATACTATTTTTGTTTAAAAATATATAACATATATAAATGCATAAAAACAACCCTGGAGTCACAGAAAATGTTAACAGTGGTTCTGAGTGGTGTAGTTATGGATGGGGGCGGTTTGTTTTAACCTTTTTATACTTCTCAAAACTTTTACCAGTACATAAGCCTTTGAAACTAGAAAAAAAATCAATTTTTAAAAAAAAAGCCTTACCGCTTATGCCACTCACTCTCCTTACTATTCACCTCCCTAAAGTCAGAGCCCATCTGAGTGATCCTTAGGGAGGATCCCTGGGTGCAACCTGTAGTATCCAGGCCCAGAGCAGCATACAGGCAGCCTGCCCCTGTTCCCTACCCAGACCCCGCAGACCTAGGCCCACCTGCCTGATGTCTCAGGCTGGAGACGAGTGATAGGGATGGCGTCTATGCCCCAGGTCTGGCACTAGGAGGTCATCCAGTGACACAGTCATGAGAGGACACACGGTCTAGAGAAATCCCGGAATTCAGGTAAGGCAGTGAACGGTCAGCCACATGGCAAAGTTTTACAAGCACATAAGCCCTTAAAACAAGCGGTGGGAGGGGGCGGTTCACCCTGTCACCTAACCCTTCAGTTTCTTCTGCCTCAACTCTCAGGAAAGGAGAGGTCCTGGCAACTCCTGACCACCTTAGGTGCCTAGCAACCAGCCCTCTGCAGAAAGAACCTGAGCCTCGGGCTGGAGAGATGGCTCAGCGGTTAAGAGCATTGCCTGCTCTTCCAAAGGTCCTGAGTTCAATTCCCAGCAACCACATGGTGGCTCACACCCATCAGTAATGGGGTCTGGTGCCCTCTTCTGGCCTGCAGGCATACATACAGACAGACTATTGTATACATAATAAATAAATATTTAAAAAAAAAAAAAAAGAACCTGAGCCTCCAGTGAGATGTCAGGACAACTCAGGACCAAGGTGGTTATGAGGACCGCCTCAAGGTTTGCTTGGCCATGTCCATCCAGTCTGTAGGGCCAAACCCACTGCAGTACTGCCTAGCGTGGAGGTCTTGCTGAGAGTCCCAATGCTGAGAGTCCCAATGCAGCTTCCAGAACTCACACTGGGAGGATAGGGACACCCTGGCTCAGGATTTGCTGCCTGCTGAAAGTACAGGAAGCAGCCCTGACATGACTGACGGGGCTGGGCCACCAACCACAGTAAAGATGGTGTAGGAGAGAACTCCACAGTTGCTGAAGGGAGTATCTCAGAGAACAGCCAACCTAGGGATTCCTGTGGGGCCAAAGCAATGGTGGGGTTCCCCCATGGAGGGGTGGTCCTGGGGAGTTCCTGCCCCTAAGCCTCAGACCTTTCCTTTAAAGTGGCTCATCCAGTGCCTTGCCTGCTCTGAGGCCCCCAAAAGGGCATCATTCATGTCCACTCGTGGACACTGACACCCTGCCAGGACCCTGCCTCAGAGCCCACTCCTGCAGAGCACAGGGGTCACAGGTATGCAGTGCTCTTCATGGCCCGCTCGCTCTGTGTACAAGGGCAGCAGCAGGAGCCTGGCATGCCCCCAGCTCTGGTCCTTATCAAAAGGAAAGAGTCTTACAGGGGTGAATGTGCAGGACAGAGCGCTGGCCCAGAGAGGGGTGCACGTGGGAGATTAAGAAGGATAAAGGCTCAATCACAAGAGCCAACAATAGGAAGCGGACAGCACTGCCTGGCGGGCCAGGGATTAGTCTGTGCGTCCGTCCGAGGTCTGAGGTCAGTTGCTCCCTTCTGCCGCTGCTGTCTGCTCTTGGCTAGTCCCTCAGGGTCAGGACTGAGGAAATGAGCAGACACCAACAGTCTATGCCTTTGGGAAGCCTGTGTCCCCCATTAAGGAGAGCCCACAGGTCTGGGTGGTGCTGAGTGAGTCAGGTGGCATCTGTGCCCCAGGGAAGAGAGTATACATCCTGAAAGGAGGAGTCCCTACAGCGGGCCCTTGGTGATGCCATTCAGGCTAGGGTCCCTGATCCCCAAAATGTATCTTAATAATCACCATGTCCTGATCATCATTTCTACCAAAGCTTGCAGGCTGAGCAGGGTTTTGCTGGAGAAGAGGTGAGAAGGCAGCACCCAATGACCCAAGCAAGGTTAAGAGATGGGTAATAGGTGCTGTCCCCAGGCCCTGTCCCTTTGAGTCTGGGTCCCAAGAAGATATCTCAACCTCAATGGACATCGCAGGGTCTCAGATGGGGTAGAGCCTGGGGCCAAGGTACCTTTCAAAACTGGTGGAGCTGCAAGGGCTGCAGAGGACAGTCAGGGGCTAAGGGAACACTGCTGTCACACAGCTCCTTTCGGGGATGTGAGATAGAACAGGAAAACCCACGGTGAGTCCAGAGATGCAGAGGCAGAACCCAATGCTGGGGACACATGTCAGAGTAAACTATCACCTTTCCTTTCATCAACTCCTTTCGAGGCTGCATGAGTGTCTCTGCCCAGGAAAAAAGCCATCTTGCCTGGCACCCTCGGGTGAGTGGTTGGGCAGAAAGAGACAACAGGCAGCTAAGAGGAAAGCAATTCCCTGGAAGTGGCTAGGAGGAGAGTGGCCCAGGAATCAGGATTCGAACTTCTACGAACCTAGGATGGCAACTTCCCCACCAAGTCGTTGCCATTGTCACTTCGGACCGGCACCTGAAGTGGTGGTCCTTGGGCAGTCCTGAACACCTTAACAGAGGAGCCGGGGCCTAAGCAGCAGGAAGAGCAAACTCCAGAGTTGCCCAAGTGTGTGCCAGGCTCTGAGTGCCTGGGACCATGTACAGGACACACCGCGAACAGCAAACCGAGCCATCGTGTGGCCGCCACCTCTAGTGGCAACTTGGGCTTCTTGTTCATCCTCAGTTCCCATATCATCCCCTGCTCCTGTATCCACTCTGGGCATGTCTGTCTGTCTGTACTCAGGCAGGGACTGTGGGCATGCTGTCTCTACTTGCTTGCCACTAACTCAAGTTCAGAGACAGGGTCTTCCTGAACCCTTCTCACCGCCCCAATGTGCCCAGGCTGTCACTCACACGGAAGGGGACTGCTAAGGAAGAACAGTGGAGTAAGCAGCCACTACATCACAGTTACCAAGCAGAAAGCTCAGAGGAACACTTACGGTGGGCTCAGAATGAGCACCCTGTGGGCTTCTGACCAGCATGACCCTTGGACACTGTTGAAAGAGCCTCGATCCCTTCAAATGAGTCCAGAAGAAAGGGGTGTCATATTCCATTTAAGTTTTATCTATACTATGTTTCTAAAATGGGGTACAGGTTTGAGCTGAAAGTAAGATGGGGCTGTAGAGGAGGTTCAACAGTTAAGAGTACTGGCTGCTCTCGCAGAGGACCCAGGTTTGTTCTCCAGCACCTATCACAACCATCTAAACTGCAGCTCCCAGGATTCAACTCTTCTGGCCTCCACAGGCAATGCACACACACGGTACGCAGACAAGTATACAGGCGAAATATCCATACACATAAAAATTAAACCACTTTTTCTTGAGGGGTAAAATACAAACGTGATTTTTTTGGGGGGGGCTTTCTGAGACAAGTTTCTCTGTATAGCAGTCCTAGCTGTCCTGGAACTTGCCCTGCAGACCAGGCTGGCCTCGAACTCACAGAGGTCTGCCTGCCTCTCCTCCGAGTGCTGGAATAAAGTGGGCGCCACCACCCTGCACAAAGGTGATTTTAAAATGCACAGCAGGGCTGGAGAACAGCTCAGCGTGACGGTTCTGCCACCAAGTCTGCAGACCTGAACCCACAGGGTGGAGAGAATTGCCTCCTAAGAGCTGTCCTGACTCCCTTCTGCATGCTGTGGCGTGTGTGTGTGTGTGTGTGTGTGTGTGTGTGTGTGCACGTGCACACCACCTCCTCCCAAATAAATGTAAAACAACAGTTTTAAACACAATACTAACCCTCAGCCTTTCCCCATGGCAGAGCCTGGAGGGACGTTTTCGTTTTCACCCACAGAATGTCTGACAAACATTGTAACATAGCTAAGCCACTGTCCTTTGAGGCCACAGCATAGCGATACATAGGGTCTAAAAATCAGAAGCCGTCTGTACAAAGTCCCACCCAGCTCTCAAACCAGCCTTATCCCTTCCTCCTCCTCTACCTCTAACACCTGGAGGGGCCTGTGGCCTTGCCTTTGGCTGTGTCACCTCTTGGCTGCAGATGCTCCTGCCCCTGTCTGCTGAGGTAAAGTGTGGACCGCACTGACTCCAAAGAGAGGAGCACACGGCCACTCTAATAGTGCCTGGCTCAGCTAGTACCTGTATAAGAAGGGAGAGATTTCCACTTCAGAGCATCCTGAGTTCTCAGGGATGCAGTGGGACAATGACCCTGTTGTCATCCCCTTGCTCTGCTTTCTTCCAGGGCCCTACAGGGGACACTGAGCCCCAGGGACATAGGGAGCTTAGCTGCCACAGGCAGGCCCTGACCTTTTGCCATGCCAGGTGTGGAGCCACTAGCCTCTCCTTCAGCCATATGGGGTGAGCTATTAAAAGAAGGGCCAAAGGACCAGGCAATTCTCCAGTGCAACTCCCTCTAGCTGGGGTTTGAGAACCCAAGATCTCCCAGTGGAGCCACACCTCCAGGAAGGTCTGTAGTGGGGGTTCATGGTCAGATTGGCTCAAGACACTTCCATGAGAAAGGAGGAGGGACAACCCTGGGGCCTGTACCTGATACTTGGGGCTGAGCTCAGCCTCTTGGCTCTCTTCTCCAGCCAGTCCTCCAGGTGACCCTCAGGAAGCTCAGCGGTCTCCAGTGGCCACTCTCTGGCCCGCCTCTCCTCTGTTGGGGACAGAACGACAAAGGGTAAGGCCACACCCCCACTGGCCTGAATCTCACTCTTGTACAAAGCAGCTATCCTGGGCAAGCCCTGGGTAGGCATACTGGTCTGTCAGGGGAAGTGAGCCAGCAGGTCAGGAGAAGGTCCGTCTCCTTCATCCAGCTCCTCTGTCCCCAGTGACTCAGTGGTGTAAGCTTCGCTCTGCTCTCTGTGAGACATGACTGCTGTCTCCAAGCCTTGGGGAGCTAGAAGCAGGACAATGAACGCAGGGCTGAATTCTCAAGGTGTCTCAATCCGGGATGCAGGAGGCCCTGTGGACTGTAGAATGGGGCTGAATCGCAGCTCGCACCTGCCAAGTCTGATTGCAGGCAAGGGAATAGCCTCGGTTCTCCAATGAATGGAAAGAATTCACACAAGCTGGTGTGTGTGAGGCTCTCACTAGTGTGGGATGGGGCTTGAGCTAGGAAAGATGAACTCGCTCAGGACCAGGCTCTACACTGACTCCACAGGTGTCATCTCACTCATCTTCACAACCATTACTGTCTCCAAGGTTCCAAGGGGCGGTGACAGAACCAGTGCCATTTAAACTGTCAGCTGCCCCAGGCCTCACCTTATCTTTCTTTCCACTAAACATTGCCTCCTGCTCAGGCTCTGTGGCCTGTGTTCCTTCCACTGTGAGCCAACCGTTCAGAGAGTACATGTCCAGTGCGGCTGGCCCCATGTGGCCTCACTTCCTCCCTGGGAAAGCTCCTGGAAACCCCGGAGGTGCCAGACTGCAGGTCCTTCTGCCTGGATGCTGGCTCATTTTCTCCACCTGTTCAGTAAGGAGCTACAGGGGATGCTGACAATCACCCAAGTGGGACTTCCAGGATCTGTAATGGGAACGAGCAGCAGAATCCAAAGGCAGACACGCCAGCTTTCATGGAAGCCACAATCACCAGGCTGTGGGAACCTGAGCACAGAAAAAGTGGCTTATTGGGGAGGGAGGCAGGTCTCATGTATATTCTGACTTGAACTAGCTATGTAGTTCAAGTTCAGGAGGACAACCTTAAACTCTTGATCCTGTCTCCACCTTCCAAGTCTGAGACTACAGGTGTGTCACCAGTCTAGTAGGGAAGTGTTCTCTGCAGACTTCTGTCATCTGCTGGTGCTGAGTGGGGACTCGTGTTTCCTGACTGCGGAGGGAAGAAGGAGCAGAGGTAGAGAAGGAGGGCATTTGGAGGGAGGGAGCATCCAGGAACAACAGAGACTAGCAGGTGAGCCGAGGGCATGTCCTCGGGTGCTGGGAAGAAGTCACCTGTGCTTCATTCCCAAGGAACACAGCCCTGCTCTTGATGTCCACCCAATGGGGCAGCTCAGGGCCTCTCCATTAGCCTGGGCAATCAGAGGCTTATTCATATAGAACATGCTGGAAGGGAAAGAGGGGTGGCATAGAACAGTTTCCTGCTATTAGAACCTCTCCCGTCTCCAGCCCCCAATTCTGATTCACCCCTACGTACCCTCCACCTGGATGCTCAGTTCCTGCAGGTCTCGTTCTGACATGTGGGAAAATCTGCAGTTGGAGCCAAAGTCGCACTGGCCTGCAATGGGAAGACCGTTACTCTCCACTCAGGAGGGTTCTATGGAGTTTTTACTAAAACTCTGAGTTTTAGGGACAGGATTTTTTGATCTAGAGTAGCAACCCCCAGCCTGGAACAAAAAGCCAGACTCTCTGGTCCTGCTCACACTCAGTGGCCTGAGGTGCCAGCCTGGCCTATCACGCCCATTCCTGATGCTTTGCAAGGAGTATCCATGAGTTTCCCCCGAAGCCTGCCAGTGTTAGGCCATCCTCACCAGTCCAGACCATGGGGCTCAATGAGCACCACATGGATTCCTGAGAGGCTCATGCTTCCTCTCTAGACCAGCTCACCACACACGCTGCGGCCCCACCTGGTGCTCTGCCTGCTCCTCAGAGAACTTGGGGGCAGCTTTGCCAAGCAGAAGTCAATGTCTGGATGACTTTCTATTATCAATCAAGAAATTTGAATCATGGCTTTCAAAATTATAGATCAGTGGCATCCTCGGCAGAGCAACCTAGCAGCAGCACAAAGCATGTCAAGGTGAGTCTGTGGGGGACCCTGACCTGCAGGCCTGCTGGCCACTTGTCAGGCGGCACTGTCTCCTAAGACAGCTTCCCTGCTCTCACAGCAGTGCCTTCCCCAGCGCTATGTGAATCCTGTGGTTTTCAGCTTTGCTTTGATTGCCAGGAAGCTCAAGGCTAAACCCTTAGCAGAGCACATATGCCTAAGAATGGGTATGGAAACTAGGTATTCCTGGATTGTCTGACTTCCTATCCTTAACTGTCTTTGTATCCCTTACTTCTCTCTCTCTCTCTCTCTCTCTCTCTCTCTCTCTCTCTCCTGTGTGTGTGTGGTTTTTTTCTAAATGCAGGGCTTTCTACACAGCCTTGGCCAGGCTTGCCTTCACTGCCCAAGTACTAGCATGCTGGGCTAGTACACCACACCCAGCTCTATACTCACTTTTATGTACTCACTAAGTACTCAAGAGAGCACCGAGCACCTGAGCACCGAGCACCCTGAACTTGGGATGGCTAAACCCACCCTGTCTCTACCTCTCCCAGCTGGGAAGGGAGATGCAGGAGATCAGGCTTCCTGGCTAACCTAACCAGCTGGTCTATGACCTCAGTAGTGTTCCCTGGCTCACTTTCCCCAGAGCTCCTTATTCTAAGTAAGTCAATAAAACCACAGCCTACGCCTGAAGGTCTTTAGGTGAGAACAAGTTCCTGGAGATGCTTTAACTGACCAGTCAGTCAAAGCCAAAACTACAAAGTGGTTCAGGATGGTGGCAGGGACTGGAGGAGACACTACCGGGTGCCATGCAGGCCAGACAAGATGCTGCTTGTCTGTAAGGACCAGAGCTGAGCACGTACCTGTCAGCAGGAATTTCCTGCAAGGTCTCTTGTTCTGTTCATCCAGCAAGATGGCAGCTGCATCTGGAAGAGAAGTCTGGATTCAGATGACTCCAGCAACGGAGATGGAACCTCAGGGGCCTGGCATTGGTGGCATATAGTCATAAGAAGAGAAGAGAGCTCTCCACCGGTGGAGGGGGTGTGAGCTAGGGGGGCCACAGTGGATAGAGATGGTGGATAAAGGAATTCAAACTGAGGTGACCTCCACTCCTCACACCCCTCAGGACTAGCTAAAGCTACGAGGCAGTCTGAGGTTAGGGGTGCTCCAGTTGTCTGCCAATGGGTTTAGATGGGGGTGGGGGACCTCTGTGCGCTATCTTCCTAACCCCTGCAGGTCTGTGAGTAAAGTCACAGACCACACACAGATGTTCTGCTCCGTGGCAGGCCACATGTCCAACGGTGATCTCCTGCCTAGTGATATCATGGTTGTTCCAGTCTGTGACGTTCACACAACAGTGTATCCCTGTTATTAAGTGGCATGTGATATTTCAACATGAAAAACTTCCCAGAAAGTCCTGATGCACAGGACTGTCACCTTCTATCCCTGCCAGGGGCCAGGGAAGGCTCCCGGAGCAAGACTGTGGTTCCTAGTCTTTTCATTTTCCTGGTTCCAGTGGTGGGTACTTGGCCACACTAGCCACTGCCCTGTACAGGACTTCCGAGTGATCATTCTAGGTGTTCATTTTAGCCCTGGTTTCCCGTTTCTCCTCTCTTTATGCTCATCATACAGTTTTGAATTTGTGTGCTTCTCAGCAGGAAAGGAATCTGCAAGTGGACGAGGCATGGAGGTGAGTACCCACAGCCCTCGCTACTTGGAAGGTGACACAGGAGGACGGTTCAAGTGTAAGAGTTCAAGGCCAGCTTAGGCCTTGTAGCCAGATACTGTTTCAAAACAAACAGGAAATCTGAGTAAGGTAGAGAAGGTGACCCCGAGCTCAGAGGTTCTTCTCAGCATGCTAGACAAGAGGAGAAGGACTGGACGTTCACCCACACCTTTCCAGAGGCCGTGGCTCTTGAGTCTGGAAGGCCTGAGCTTGAGCCCTAGCTGTATGTGGCCATAGGAAGCTGCTGTCTTTCCAGGGTTGTTCTTCCCCACGTAATGGGAAGAAAAGTTCCCACTTGGCAGGGCTGTTGTGAAAGCTTCACAGAACAACAGATGGGGAGCCTTTGAGAAGTGGGTCGCAATCCTGCTGGTGCTTCAGAGTCACAGGATCTGGGCAGCACTTGAGAGCACTGCCAAGCGTCCTTCCTCCATGTGAACAGCTCCATCCTGTAGGGGCAGGGGCTGAGCCTGAGACAGGGCATGTGGTCAGGAAGTAGTAGCACCGAACCTGCTCTTTCAATGTGGCCGGGTAAGTGACCAGCGCCGAGGGGATGCTTCCTTGCAGAGCAGCAGTGGCTGGCGGGGCCGGCAGTCCTCTGGGACTGGAGTTGGCTGTCAGAGAATTCATTCCAGCTCGGACTACAGACACTAATGCCTACCCTCTCAGGATCCTTCTAAGCCGAACCTGGATCCCAGACAAGGGGTCCAGCTCTGGCTGGTGTCGCTCCACCCCACTCACTTCAGAAGCATGGGGCAGCTATGGACAATCAATCCACTCCTCTCAGGGTCTCTGTAGTTCAGCAGGTCTTGAACTTATCCTCCTGCTTCATCCTCCTGTGTGCTGGAATTATAGGCCTGCATCACCAAGGGTGATTCTCAGGTTCTGCCTGTATTTTTCCTCTTTGGGCAGGATCTCATTAAATAGCCCTGGCTGGCCTTGAACTCACTGTATTGCCCTGGCCATCTTAAACTCTTCATCCTCCTACCTCAGTTTCCTGAGTGCTGGGATTATAGGTATGCACTTTTTCCAGGATCTGCTTTAATTTCTCCAAGAGGGAGAGTCATAATAATTGCTAAAAATTCCTCAGTGCCCCTGAAGGATGCCAGACTGAGAAAGTGAACAGAACCCAGGCTCTGCTCAGAGAGGCCCTGCTTCCCTGCATGACATGTGACCTGAAGTATCAATCCTTCAAGCTTTACCGTCCCAAATACCCAGCTGCCCCATGCTTGTTTGCTCAGTTTAGCCCTTCATCTCTCAAACACTCACTAAGCATATCCTTCCTGTGTACCAGGCACTGTGCCAGGCTGAGTATTTGGTACTCCCAGTCCTACAGCTGCTCTAGTCTACACAGATGTCAATGCGGTAAGTGTTGAACCTGTCACCAGATGACCTTCCCTAGCCCTGGGGACGGGAGGAGGTCCTGACGTGGTGAGTTCCAGACAACCAGGTTACACAGTGAGTCTCTGTCTTTAAACAAACAAACAAAACCCCTCCCCCGCAACCTGCATCTGGAGATTGTGTCAGGGGATCAATGTTTTGTTTTGACTGAGATAAACTATTATAGTAGTGCAGGTTGGCTTGGTGATTTGTGCCTGTGAAGGCTGAGGCAGGAGAATTGCTGCAAGGTCAAGGCCAGCTTGGGCTACAAAGTGAGTTCCAGGTTCCAGGTCTCCTGTGCTACAGTAAGATCTTGTTTAAAAAAATAAAGCAAGGGGCTGGAGAGATGTCTCAGTGGTTAAGAGCAATGGCTGCTCTTCCAGAGGACCAGGGTTCAGTTCCCAGCGCCCACATGGCAGCTCGCGGCTGTCTATAACTCCAATTCTTATACAGACAGACATGCAGACACAGTACCAAGGCACACAAAATAAAAGTAAATTAAAAAAATCTAAAAAACACAAAACTGTTGCCCTCAAGATAGTCTTGCTTCAGGTTCCCAAGTAACAGCACCAAGTTACTAAGTTTAGCTATCATCTTTTCCTTAAAGGTTCCTAGGTAATCTTAACGCGTAGTCAGGGTTGCGAGTCACTATTGTACAGAGTTACTCAGAGAAAGAAATGGCTTCCCTTCTCAAGTCTTCTTGGCTGCTAACACTAAGTTTTTAGCTTCCCAAATCTGGGCTCTGTCCAGAGTCTTCAATGCACCAATACTACCCCATCTCAGTCCAGGGACTCCTGGTCCACTGTAGCCTCAATGCCAATCTACTGTACCTTTCAGCTGGCTCAGTACAGCTCCTATCCATCTCTCTACTCGGTTTTTGCCTTACTGCCTTTGCAATGCTGGGAATCAAATATAAAGTCTTCTGCATGCTAGGCACACAATCCGTCTGAGTTATTGCCTCAGCCTTTGGCTTTGTTGGTTTTTTTGACACAGGGCCTGGCTAGCCTGGAACTCACTATGTGGACCAGGCTGGCCTTGCTCAAACTCCTAGAGACTCACCTGCCTCTGCCTCCGGAGTGCTTGAAATAAAGGTGTTATTTATTGTGTTATCCCCAAAAGCTGTCCTCTGACCTCCACATACATTCACACTGGGCAAATACACACACGCACACACACATCCCACATGCAATTAAAAAAAGAGCAGAAGAGGACCTGGGTTCAATTTATAGCACCTACATGGTGCTTCACGACCACCCTTAACTCCACTGCAGGACATCTGATACCTTCTTCTGACCTTCTGTACTTACATATGTGCAGGCAAATACTAACATATATACAATAAAAATAAATATTTAAAAAAAAGAGACCACTGCAGTCTGTCCCTAAAGAGGCCCAGTCACTGAGCCACGAGCACCCACCTCGGAACATGTCGTACCACACCTTCTTGGCCTTGAGGTGCTGCAGCCCATTTAGGTGCTTCTTCCGATTGTGGAGGTTGTCCTGGAAGGAGCGGTCACAGTAATCACAGAAGTATCGCTTCCCCATGGCCACCTCCACCAAATGCTAGGGCCCCTGCAGAGCCAACAAAGCATTGGTCAGACAGTTGAAGAACAGATCACGTGCGCTCACTAAGCACAGCAGCTTGGGGCCTTGCTTCCTGGGGAGTTTCTCGGATGACAGTTAGGGGTGGCAGACCTCACTCCAGAGGACTTACACTTCTGCTCTACAGTCTCGAACACTGGCTGAGCTACAACTTCTTTATATTTATTTATTTATCTATTTTGTTTTTTCAAGACAGGGTCTCTCTAAAAAACCACCCAGGCTGTCCCAGAACTCGCTCTGTAGACCAGGCTGGCCTTGAACTCACAGAGTTCCAACTGCCTCTGCCTCCCAAGTGCTGGGATCAAAGGCGTGCACCACCACACCCGGCTGGAGGTGTATCTTTTTTAAGCTTTTAGGTAACTCTAGGAGTGGATAGACTGGAGGACAATCACCTTAAGCCCTCTGGCTAGCCTCTGTCCGGACCCCAACCTCCTGTGTCCTCTCTGCTCCTCACACATCAGGCATGTGGTCGCCTTCCTGCGCTTATACTTGCTGCGGCTGACCTGGATGCTGCCCGTCAGACACTTGTGACACTTGCTCACTCAGTCCTTTGATCTCTGCTCAAATGCCATGACCCTGGACCTGAACACACAGGAGCTGCTTTCCTTTTCCTCACAGCACTTACCTCCTTTAGAGCAATAATTACTTGTTATGTCACTGTCTTTCTTTTCCAGCAAGAATGTAAACCCAAGAAGGCAAGTCTATTCTGCTGTCTCTTAGGTGCCCCAGCACCTAAATGATACTTGAACAGAGTAGGTAGGCAATCAAGCATTTGCAGAATAAATCAATGAATCACCGCATTCCCTTTGGGACAACTGGGGTTCAGAGGGAGGAAGTAATTTGCCTAATGTCATACAGCTGGGAAGCAAAAGCAAATACAGGTCCCCTAAAAATTCTGTTGCCAAGGGTCCCCCCTCCTACAGCCAGCTTAGTGCTCAGGGAAGGCAGCGAGCTCCACAGCAGGTGCCAGCAGCTTCCTAAGGAGACTACTACTGCAGCTTGGGAGAGCTCCCCAGCCTCAGACGGAAACGAGAGTACTCAAGTTCTTAAGGCCCTTCAACAACAGTTCCCTCGCCACCATTCCCACGCCAGGAGCCTGCAGCCCAAGGTGGACAAGTCCTGCATCTTGTAGCCCACTGGGAGTTTTCAAGAAAGACTGCAAAGACCAAGTCAGAGCAACCCCTCCCATGACAAAAGAGGCTCCTGAGGCCCAGAGGAAGATGGAAATGACTTCCCGAGGTTACAAGGTAGCTGCCTGAAGTAGTCAAAGCCGCAGACTGCCATGCACCTGGCAAACTAGGCTGACTCTGGGACTCAATCCACAGAGCAAACAGATGGGGGAACACAGCTCAGGAAGAAGGGACTGAGAGAGAAGGAGAGACACAGTTGCCCTGGATGGTTCAGGCACTAAGCAGGCTGATGGGGAAAGTTACTCCTGGTGCAGACAGGGATGGCAGCCATTAAGTCAGGGGCTGTAATGGGATCAGGAACAGCTAGTCATTCCAAATGAAAACGTATAAAACCTCTCTTCTCCCATTACTTCCAAGAAACTGCATCCCAGACACGAGGACTTGATCTATTAAATTTGGCAGCTCTAATGCACCCCGTCTTGCCAATAAACTTATAGGAATTGGATTGAAATTGTAAGAGATGAACGCTTAACGGCCGAGTGCTTAACCAAGCCATTCACAGAGCTTGAAGCTCCAAGGAGCTGCTGGCTGTGGAGAGTAATGGGAAAAGGAGGGGCGGAGGAAGGTATCCCCCTGGGAGACTGACATGAACAGAAGAACCAGTGGCTCTGGCTCTGCAACAGAAGGAGGTGGACAAAACCAGAGCACAGAGAAGCCAGCCGTGTGACCTTGTGCAAGTCACTGTCCCTTCTTGACACCTACAATTTCCTGTGTGAATATGAGGCAGTGGATCTGAATGGTCGCCGACACAAACTTACATATTAAGGCCAGGCTACAGTTCAGCGGCAAAGCACTTGCTCAGCACTCGTGTGCAATGGGCTCAGTCCCTAGCACCACAAATAAAATGGCTATGAACGGAAACTTCATGTTCAGCATCAAGCAAGTGCTCAGGAAGCATTGGAGCTGCGGTTCTGAGCATGTCATACACTGGCTGAGAGTTTTGCATGCATCGTCCCACAAAGCCTCGCATGACCTGCAATGGATGCCCATGAGACTTCAGGAGAAGGGCACTGAGACCCCAAGAAACAAAGTCACTCAGGCAAGGCCACATTACCCGGATGGGCTGTCTGCACTACTAACCACTTCAGTCTCCAACAAACGTACTGACTTTTCACTCACCCCCAGTACCATGCTGGCCCCTTTGAAGCCCCAAATGTACATATTGAAACCTACTTAGGAATGAGAGAGAAGGCTGAGGATCAGAGAGGTACTATGGGGTGCCCTGGCCATAGAACAGGTTTCAGAACAGGGAAGCCTCTATTCACACCACTGCAAACACTAGCCCACTAGGAAATCAAGGCCACACGCCTCTCTGACTGCCTGCTCAGCCACACCAGAAACCAAATAAGCCCCAGAGGGGCTGTATTTTTTTTTTTTTTTTAAGATAGAGTTTCTTAGTAGTTAGCTATGGAGCCAGTCCTGGAACTCGCTCTGTAGACAGTCTGACCTCAAACTCACGGATATCCACCTGCCTCTGCCTCCCAAGTGCTGGGATTAAAGGTGTGCGCCACCACCGCCCGGCTTGGGGACTGCTTTCTAACTTTGGTCTGAGCAGTGATTTGATTCTGACTGTTCCTTACGAAAGCAGGGATGTCAGAGTGGCCATGGATGGCGGTGAGCATCAGAGCATTCGTGTCTTCACTGAACACAGCACCAGGCCCACCGAGGTCCTCAGGAAACCCTAGCTATCAGCATTTAGCTTACTGATGGCTGTTAGTACAGGGTGCTGAAACTGGATGCCAGTGTTCAAGTGAGCCCTGGAAATAGCCAATTTACACTGCAGATAAGACAAGTGAGTCTAAGAGAGGACCACAGAGCTTCCAAAGTCCACAGCACTAAAGGCAGAGGAGGGACTGGACCCTCTGCACCACAGGCCAGACTGATTCCCACACTGCATGATGGCTCCACAGCCTGCACTGCCCAGGGACAACAGAAGAGGCTCAGAGCTTTTTACCTCATAGCCAGGTGCTCAAAGGAAGCCATGCCTTGGCAGGAGCTGGCCTAAACAAGGTCAGACAAGACATTCTAGGCACCTGATCCAGCTGCCTCCCACTAAGGGCTAGGGCACATATTTAGGGACAGCCTACAGAACCTGTGAGCCAGCTACAGCATCTTGCCACACTGTAAACAGAATCATTCATGCCACAGCCAGGCATCCTGGCACAAAGCACACCCTGTACCGCTGTGCTCCTTGACCCTGAGTTGGCAGAAGGGAGACAGCTGGAGTGTCTATGCACTGGGCCCAGACAGCAGCGTGGGGTGCTGACTAAGCTGACCTTCTCCGCCATGATTCATCCTCATCTTCAGCAGTGTGAGCTAGGCCCTGTCAGGAACAGAGTGATCCAGCCCCCACGCCCCACCAAGAACACAGGTGGTACCACCAACCCACTCCCAGGAACCAGGTCCATGGCTATAACACTATCTGCTGGCTCTCCAAAGCTTCAGATGCCAGGGCTGGTTATTCATGGCCAGAGAACAATGCTTAAGCTAGTCAGACTTAGGTCTTCTGGGACCACACAGCAGATTCTAATCCCAATGCCCTCTGCTAAGTGATTTCAAGTACTGAGTGTGCCCGTAGCTATAAACCAGGTCTCACAGCTCACAGCACAATGACTCTTCAGCATCCACAAGGGATGGGTTCCAGGACCCTCATGAATATCACCTTCCCCAGCTCATCCTTTATATAAAATGTCACAGAATTTCCATCTAACCCACACACAGCCTCTTGTCTATTTTATGTCATCTCGAGTATTTATAATATCTAGTATATGTAAATGTTATGGAATCAGTTGTTTTCTTGTATTGTATAGGGAATAATGACAAGAAAAAATATACATATGCAGTACTTTATTTCTGTTTTGAGACATGGTTTCTCTGTGTAGCTCTGGTTGTCCTGGAATATACTCTGTATATTCTGTAGTCCAGGTTAGCCTCTAATTCAGAGATTTGCCTGCCTCTGCCTCCTGAGTGCTGAGATTAATTGTGCACCACCATTCCAGCCACCCTTTGAAAACTGTAGTCAAACAATGCCTCAGGACCCTGATATCCCACTTCACATGAAGGCTTATTCTCTTGTGGGTCTCCTTCCCCTTCCAGAACACAGGCCTTGAGGCAAAACTCTGTCTAGCCCACCAACTGCCAGGAACACACTGCCTGCAGAATAAATGAGTGGCTTGCAGAGCCAAACCCTCCCTCCACCTTGCTGGATGCCATTTCCTCACAGGCCCTTTTTGGAAAAGCCAAGCAGGCAGGCCTCTCACACAGGATATCTGACTCTTGCAGAGCTGTTCTGCTGTGTAGCTGCTGCCCATGGAACTTACCCTGTCCTAGCTGTCTCACTGCACCTGATGACCTTACAGGCTCAATGAGCACCCTCTACCATAGAGGTACAAGAGGGAAGAAAAGAGACGGGGGAGGGGGTAAGGGAAACAGCTCCAGCTTTGATTCACGTATGCTAGTGTCTCACTTTCATTCTTTAGAAATGTTTTTTAAAATTTATTCTTACCTGTATGAGTGCTTTGTCTGCATATGTGTATATGTATCACACATGTGCAGTACGCACAGAGGCCAGAAGAGGGTGCTGGAATTGGAGTTATAGATGGCTTTGAGCCCCCATGCGGATGCTAGGAACTTAACCTGGGTCCTCTGGAAGAACAGTTAGTACTCTTAATGGTTGAGCCACCTCTCCAGTTTGGAGATTGAACGGAGCCTTGTGTATACTCAGCAAGTGCCCTTCACTGAGCTACAGATCCCCAGACTCCCACCCTCTTTTTTGGGTTT